TGCTCAAAAAAATCGTCACCCAACCCCTCCTGCTGATGATTTCCGGCCATGAAAGCACGGAATACCAGAGCTCCAGTAAGGGGTTTTCGTTTTCGTTTATGGTTATCTCCTAGAGGGAAGAAGAGTGATAATGGGTTCTGAGAAAGAAATGTTTACTGAGTGGTGTGTGGAGAGAGATTTATAGGGGACATAATGGGTTTTGGGGTTTATAGGGGAACCCGAAAAAAGGTGGGTTGTTGGTGAAATGGGTGGCAGATCCGGAGCCCGATAACCCGGAAAGGGTAGTTTGGATTCCGAGAAAATTTTAAGAACAAGAGTTTACTGGTTTTTTCTTTTTCTTTTTTTTTTCCCGAGAAAAATTTGTGTTTTTCTTGGGTATCATAAAGAGAATTTTCTTTTAGGGTATGAGAATGAGGAAGAAAATGTAGAAAGCCGATTACTCTTATTTTCTTTTTCTGGTTTTTCGGGGGTCATGAATTGTGGTTTATATTAATTATATTAATTATTATTTTTGTATTTGAATTTATTATTGAGATTATAAATTAATTGTTAATTTAAATTTAATATTATCTTAGTCTTGTAAAAGTGATTTGAATTTAAGTAAAAGTAATTTTAAAGTTTATGTTTAATAAAATTTACATTAAATTTACTATAAAGTATTTTCAATATAATTTATGGTTTACATGTCATCAATTATTTTATAAAATTAATACTAAATCTTGAAAATAATTTGTACTTTTATCTAAAAATATATTTATTTTATAATATTTAATTAAATTTTTAATATAAAAAAATATCGTAGAGTATTTTTATAATATTTAATATTAATTATAAATATATATATATATAAATATCAAATAAAAATAATTTTAAATATCATCAAAACTGTAAAAATAAATTAATATAATAATTATAATAATATATTATTTAGAAATAAAATTTTAAATATTATCAAACTCAAAGATAAATCATAGCTAAGTAGAAGAACCGCAAATCGTATATTACCCAAATGAATTAAGGTAATTGAAAAATATATTTTGCCAAAACATTTGCAATACCATTATAATATATTGGAATCTGTGTAGAATTAAACGAAGTAAAAAAAATATTTTAATGAAAAATATCGTCTACGAACAAACTAAATTCAAGTAACAGAGCTTTTACTTCAATCATTGTGTTATTAAGTAAGTGAAAATCACGTTCAACCATAATATGATGAATTCTAAAGTTCAATGAAATCTTTAGCCGAATAAAAACACATTAGTTTTTACATCATTCACCGTGTTATAACTTGAGATTTGCTTTGTACTTGTAAATTTTAGCTATAGTTTTCAATTTCTGCATATCATATTAAGACCTCATCTCAGTTTGTCGAAACATCAATATTAAGTTTAAGAAACTCTTGTATTGGCAGTAGTCAATGTTGAAAAATTTTCATCTTATCTCACTTAGTCGTAAAAGTCGACTCAAAAATATGATAAAAATCAAAAAATATTTTATATAAATTTAACCATCATATTGGCGTCAATCCATTTTTGTTGATATAGCCATAAGTTACTCTACCACCAAATCTTCGTATAGAATAAGCATGAGACCATTTTTATAATCCACTTCTCGATTTGAAAGATTTTGAAGTAACCAATAGTAACAGAAATTACCGTCAACATTATCTTGAATTGGATTTATATTCCATACCCTTATAGCATACTCATAATCTTTAAATTAGTACTTGGTGGATTCAAAATATTTGTTACACATTTGATAAAATTTACCAAGTGATATATCTTTTTTCTTAAGATTGTATCTTACTATTATAATATCTTTATTACTAACTTCTGTTATAATTCCACGTTCTTCCTCCTCCACAATCAATCGCGTGTCATGCTCCACTATTGCTTCCGCCTCTCTCCATATTTATATTTTGTTTACCCCGTCATTAAAACTCTTAGTAAATCAGAATGCTCTAATCTTATCAAAGACTCCCCCCCCTCCCCCATCATGCAGTGTGTAAAATTGCATCAAGTTCCCCATGCAACCACATCTAAATTAATAATTTACAAGTTGTTCACACTTGAATGACACCTAAATAACTTAGCCTTCATAGACATCATGGTTCCATGTGTAATCCACTTTCTTAAATCCATAGACACCCCATCTTCTCAATGTATTGCTTCATCATCTCTTTTGTCATATATAATGGTGGAAGATTATACGCTCAAACCCAAACCTCCACATTAATTAACTTGTCAAACCTAAAGAAGACAATAGTTCCCCCTTTTCCCTTAGCTTCAATAAGTCTGTTATAATTTAATGAGATATGTATGAATGTCTCTA